AACTTTGATAAATTGAATTGCCCCACAGCTGCATCTAACATGCCAGAAAGGGAAAAAATTAGTCATGAAATGCTGTTCCACCCAGAGAGGGAGAGCTAACGGAGCACTTTAACCCTGTGGAGGGAAAGGCTGAGCCCTGGCATTGGATGCTGTTGGGCAGGTGGGGTGGTGGCTGGGACCTGGCCCCTCTCTGTCCCCATGGGCCATCCCTGCAGAGGGGTGCTGAAGCTGCATCTAACATGCCAGAAAGGGAAAAAATTAGTCATGAAATGCTGTTCCACCCAGAGAGGGAGAGCTAACGGAGCACTTTAACCCTGTGGAGGGAAAGGCTGAGCCCTGGCATTGGATGCTGTTGGGCAGGTGGGGTGGTGGCTGGGACCTGGCCCCTCTCTGTCCCCATGGGCCATCCCTGCAGAGGGGTGCTGAGGGCATCCCTGCAGTGCTGGGTGACGTGTCCAGGGGAGTGGGAACATCCTGGTGATGTGAGCTGGGCCAGGGGTTGCCTGTGGGCTGGGTGAGCAAGCCCAGTTCTGCCCTGGCCTTTGACCTGGGAGATGGCCCTCGGAGGAGCAGGGAGTACTCCTGAAGTGGGTTGTCACCAGGCACTGAGGAGCAGAGCTCGGCTTCTGGCACGGCTGAGGTCAGGGCAGCGGGTCCCTACCCTGGGTCTGGCTCAACAGTACATTCCTGGCTGCCATTGCCAGTGGTCAGAGCCAGGGAACTTGCCAGCTTGTTGTTGTTGCTGCTGTTGCTGCTGCCACTGCTGCCTTCCATGGTATGTGCTGGGGTCTGAAAGGCTTGGGCAGGGCACGGAACTGGCCCCAGCTCCTGTGTGACTGCACCTGACGGGTCCTTTTGCTGCACCACGCTGTGCAGCCCCCGTTGCCATCCCTGCCTGGGGGCCCTGAACCCTCCCCACACTGGGTGCACCTGGCCATGGCACCTCTTGGGGGAGGGGATGGGAGGATGGGGGTAATGGGCAAGGGTAACGCCCCCAGTGCTGTTAGAGGTCAGTAGCAGGCAGCCTGTAGTGCCTGTGAGCCTGCCCGTGGGCTCTGCCATGCTTTCAGGGGTTCACCCAGATCTGGCGTGTCAAAAGAAATCAGCTCTTCCATCAGGGCATGGCAGTGGGTTCTCTGAGCTGCCCCATGCTGTATCCTGCAGTGCTGGTGGGGCCTTTGGCACAGCTCAAGCTGCTGGCACAGTGTCCTGGTGTCCCCATGTCCCCTCTCTGGGGGCTGACACCCTTGCACAGCAGTGGAAGGTGAAGGGGACCCTATGTTCTTTGGCCCCACTGTGAGGAAATTTGTGACGGTCCGAGTTCAAGCTGATAGGTACGGGCTGGGAGGAGGGCAAGGAGGAGCTGTGGG